GAATAAGGGCTAGGTTTGTTTTTTTTAGTTTAGTTGGAGGGCCGAACGGCCTGTTCCTATGCTGTACTTCTTTTTTGTTCTGTTGTTTTGTAACTTGATTATGTGACAATAAACCTAATTCTAAGTCTCAAAAAAACACAACTTCAATCTGTCCAGTCTCTCTCCAGAACTCAAACTCTCAAGTCAAGGCAACATCCTGGTGAATCTCCTTAGCACACTCTCCAGTACCACCACATCCTCCTCTAGTGTGGATTCCAGAATTGCACACAATACTCTACCTGTGGTCTAACCAATTTTTTGTACATTCCAGCATATCTTTGATGCTCTTAAACTATGCCTCTTCTAATGAAGGCAGGTATACTGTACATCTTCTTCATATCATCCACCTGTCCAGATATATTAAAAGACCGGTGTCCACGTACTCAAAAGGTTTCTCTGATCCTTGTTGCTTCCCAGGGTCCCACCATTCCTGAAGATTAAACGTAAGCATAATTTGAATGGATGCAGTGTGTAAAATGGAAGTTGCAAGTTTCAGAGAAGATGACCATTTGAAATTATCTGCATTTTTATTTTAGATATGTTGCAAGTAATATTCAGGAAGATTTTATTTGGATGCTGCCGCCACTGTGTTGAGAGTCAATTCAATTCTCACCTTGTCCCTTTGAAAACTCCATCCTGCCAATGCATTTGGATGCCATCACAACATAGTTTCCACTATTTTCCTGGCCCTCCCCCAATTACAATACGAGGAAAATTTTGTTCAAGAGGCATACTAGGTTCTGTAATTTTTACAAAGTCAGACAGAATCATTTTTTATTTGGTCATTAACAGCACTTTTATTCTCACTTCTTGGTTATATAACTGTACATTTGGTTGTTTTATGGAACTGAAGAAAGATGATGGAATATGTGGAAAAAATTTTGCTTCACTACATGAGCCCTGAATACTTATCAGTCAGTGACCAGAGAACATAGTAGCAAAAAAAAAGTTGACTTAATTTAAGATTTGACCATTGTTGTTTACATTCACTTTTTCAAATAAAAGAGGTCAATCCAAATAGCACCATTTTCCACCAATTATAAAAATGTCTTTTGTGTTGATTTGTTCTGGGTTTTGATGAAAAATACAAACCAGAAATATTGACGCTCTTTCTCTCTTCACAGATCCTGCCACACCTGCCGAGTGCTTCCAGCATTTTCATCTATGTCTATATTTTGTGCTCCTTTTCACAAAGGAAAATTTAACCATTACAGGAACATTGCATTGACAAACTCTCAACATATACAGGCATTAATGAAACATTTCATTGGCTTTGACCATGTGTTATTTAAAAATGCTGCAGATTTAAAATTGCTTTCAAGCATTGATAAAATTATGCCTCGATTTTATTTTGGTTGTGATGGTATGTTGTCATGTCAAACCTACCTGACAATTTCCCAAGAAATGTGAAGTGTTACAATGGAAGGTAAAAGCACATTGATAGATAGTCCCATATTCATAATTATGAATATGGGACTATCTTTAGGTTATTTAAATATGTAATTAACCCCTCAGCTTGCAATAATTTATACAAATCACAAATAAGCTTTCATAGAAATATTGCAACTTTTAAAACATCATTAATTCCAACTTTCTAACAATGCCATGGTTCTTTATCAATTAATACACAGCAGCTCCCCTCCATGACTACAACTCAAATCGCAGGCCTCCAAAGTTATTAATCAAGAACCTATTTCGGTCTTAAATACACTCAATGAGTTGGTCTCCAAAGCCTTCTGTGGCCATGAATTCCAAAGATTCACCACCCTCTGGCTGAGGAAATTCCTCCTTTACTCAGTTTAGAAGGGTCTTCCCTTCATTCAGAGACCCTGCCCTCAGGCCCTAGTCTCTTCTACTGCTGGAAACATTACCACAGCCCCCTATCTAGATCTCTCAGTATTCTGTATGTTTCAATGAGATTCTGTAGCCGTTAATGCCAAGCAGGGATAAATGAATGGAGATAACAAAGTAAAATGGGTTTGAATGAATTGGCAGGCAATATCATCACTCTTGACTGCTGTTCATCATTGCCCAGTGACCACTGCTTTTATCTGGCATTCACTTAAAAGCAGGTATAGTCACACAGTATTAAAGGCACTAGATAAAATGCAAATTTTTGTCATTGAGTTAAGCAGTGACAGCTTCTAAGATTGATTGGTTTCCTAACTGACTTGACTCAGATCTAAAGAATAAATTTATGTGGCACACCAGAATATGGCCAGTACCTTGAGGAACATAATTCCAGGATGAGTTTTGAATTTCAAGAAAGGAAGGAAGAAAACTAGATGAGATAAAAAACATTCAGAAGTGTTTCTTAAATAAACTGGTCATAATGAAAATTGAAATTTATAGCAGTGTTTTATTTTTAAATGGTGTCAGCTTCCATTTTACATTCCGAGTTGTTACATATAACTAAAAAGCAGCTCTGCACAAGATTGGGATTTAAAAAAAAATCCAGTAAATTAACAGTTTTAAAATATTTGCCTTTCTTTCCATCTTAATTTTGATATTCATGAATGCATGTTGCTTTTTTCGCCCGAGTGAATTGTTTTCCTCACCCTTCTCATTTCCTAACGCATGTTAACTCCCTGTCAAAGGTAGCAGCTGTTCTCTGGTACCTAGCTCAAGAAGCCATTATCCACGTATCAGCCTTCATAAGATCAGCAAGTTAATTGATCACCAGGCACAGCTGAACCTGACTTTTTCCCCTCAGTAACGTGATAACCCAGACACCCTCTGCAGGTTCAAAGCTTTAAGGGAAATCAAAGACATTGAACTCCAACGTAGCAATCCTACTAGAAAAGTAAATCTGTTGCCTACATGTTTATCAGAATTTCACTATTCTTAACATTACGGAGGATTTTCAAACTGTTGACAGACCAGTTCTTCTGGTTGGGAGTCAGTGGCGCGGGATTATATATAATGAATTACCATTACAGGAATGAGAAGGAAGAAGTTGCTTGGCGCAGAAACTTGTTAGACAATGTTGCAGGAGTCGCCATTACATTTTCCAAAGATTTAGGAAGTGTAGGTCCCATGTGGGAAGGTATTACATTTAAAGTTTTAACAAGTGATAAGAATAGGTTTAATTAGTAGAGGAGTGACAAGTGTGGGGTTGGCAGAAAGACAAACATAAAGGTAAAAGAATGTTTCTTCTCAGCCAAATTATGCCAGTTGACTGTCTTCATTCTGAGGTTATTTATTTTACGACCCGATTTTCTTTCGCATGATTGGTCACCAATCTTGCTGGTGGTCAAGTTAATGAGACCTTAAACCATTACACCCCATGGACGCCGAAAATATTTCAGACGAACCGGTTCTCCCATACCGCTCCTACACGTCGGACTATTAGAGTTGAATCGCACCTTTCAAAAAGGTGCGATCAGAGTGAAACGGTATTTAAAGAAAAGTAGTTTCCAAGCTTTGAAAGACTGATTGTTGACGGGCTAGTTTACCTAGAATTGAGTTATTTGCATATTACTGATCATACATACACGGTGTGTTGTGGGTACAGCCAATTTTTCATCCCGTCGCTGTGTACATTATCAACCCCACAATTAACATTGATTGTTGAAATGGCCACTTCTCGGGGAATTCTAGTTGTCTTGCCGTTTCTTCCTCTCTATCAAGATGGGGAGGGGTGTCAAATCCAGTATATACTTGCCGCGTAGTACGTTTTTCAGATTGAATATGCTTTGTGTAACGCGTGCACCACTTCTGAGCTGCACCTATGAGTCACCATTAAGGGGCTTTGTTCAATTACTCGCCGAGTGAATTGAAGAATTACAATTACCTTCAGTACATTCTTGCGTCGAGTGAGCGGCGACGGTAGCCGGAAGAAATAACTCAGAAGTGCAGTTTGCCACTTACAAATAAAGTACGTGACTGTGCACCAAGCTGACAAAATCTAATTGCATGCTCCATCAAAAACTCCGAAACAGCAATAATTGATGTTAAAATAAGGTCCGGATGAATTACAACACCGAAGCGTTCTGCTCTTTAAAATAGTGGACTGTGTTGGAAACTCACTACTCGGTCTAATTAACACTTGATATATCACCCTCGGACCCCTCACCTTCACTGTTCAGAGAGACAGAGAACGTCGCAACATTGGGCTGGTATGGAAAGAATATATTTCGACAAGAGACAGCTAGTCGAAGAACATTATTACCCCGAATACTGACTTGGCTCAGCCTCTAACTGGGCTAACAAGACGACTATAACAGGGAAGAAATATTGGGGCATCTCAGGCTGGTGCAACAATGAAAGATGCAGCAACTTCAGGGACCTTTCAAGCTAAAAATCAGTGAAAAGTTACAACTATTTTGGAGACGGATTGCATTCCAACACTGTGCACTTTTACCCTACCCACTCTACATATCTTGCGCATCACTTCTAACCAATTAGCAAAATTCCTCTTATCGGATCTGCACGGCAAGTCTGGAATTTCCTCGCCCCATTAATAAAGCCGCAGCTCTCGATTGCTGGAGGCGCACGTCAATCATTGCCATCAGGTTAGGTTTGAACGCTTCACCTCAACCAGTCCTATCAACTTGACGGCTATGCTCCACATCTTCCCTTCCCCTCCCCCCCCCCCCCCGGCCAAAACAAATACACACACACACACACACACACACATATATACGGTCACGCCTCCCTGCTGGAAGGGGATTGGTCAGGATCCAATAATAAACGCGCCTTTTTTTCGCAGGCGGGTGGAAACGAACATGTACAATACAGTGAAGGTCTTCTACTGGTCACACAGGACGTCAATCACACTGACGCTAGGCGGAGCTGTGACTGGTGACGGGCGATGCCAATCAGGTTACGTCGATTCGCCTCGCCCCACCACTCCTCGCTTTTGCTCTGTTTAGGAGGAGGGCCTGTTCGCGAGCTCGTACTGCCGTTTTTTTTAAATCCTCCTCGGGGCGGGGGTTGGGGGTGGGGAGGGGGAAGGAAACAAAAACAATTCAACGCCATTTTGGACTTAGGCCTACTTCGCTAATTATGAATTCCGGGAGACTTCGAGTACACCATTCCCGTCAAAGGAGCTGAGGGTTTGCATCGTAGCTTTTCTTCCACACCCTCTACTAGTTATGTGAATGGCGGTTGCTTTTTCTTCCTCCAAAATCATCCCTTGGTGGCGTTATCGGCTCTACATGTCAATATATTTTGTCAAACAAAAAAAACACTGACAACCGAAGTGTAGTGCTGTCGCTTAAATTCCCTATCTTTTTGAATGAAGTTGCCCACTGAAGAAGGGGGAACGTTTGCTACAAGGTGGATCGCTGCCAGCAGCAAGTCAGAAGACGTGGTGGAGTCGTAAAGATTTTTTTTCCTCGGCTGTGATACAACGATCGTTTTGTTCTAATTAATCTTTTTTTTTTAAAGAAGACATATCCACAAAAAAAAATTATCATGGGAGCTGGTACCAAGCTTGTTTTTGCTGTTTTTCTGATTTCGTGCTCCTCAGGTAGGTGATAATTTTTATTGGGTTCTCTTACCTCAGAATTTTTCTTAAACCAATCTTTCACGCACGTAAATCTTAAATGGCATGCGATTTTTTTTGTTTGTAGATGTTGCAATCGAACCTTGCAGCAAAAAAAAACAAGCTCGTAATTCGGCACAATCTATTTGCTGTTGGATGAATAAATTCAGCCAGTTTGTGGCGTGCATGTGTTGAGTTTCTGTAGTGCGGAGTTGGTGTTTTACTGTAATGTTATACCAACAAGCTCAAGGTGACTGATCGGAATAAAGGCAAACTTACTAAATACGTAGATAAACGACCAAGGGTTGACTTTGGTTTCATTTTTTCCCGAGTATTGCTAGTCTTGAACCATAAGTGACGTTCGATTTAAAGTCAGTATGTACAATATTTTTTCCGTGAAATTTGTACAACTTAGTAAAATCAGCCCCTTCAAAGTACAGTGTTTTAAAAAAAAGTAACTGAAAATGGGTGTTCCTATTGCAATCTGTTGCAAAGTGGAAAATCAGTCTTTATATTGAACAACAAAGATCCTTAGTGATTTTAAGGTGAAAAGTTTTCATTTTCCCCTGTACCTCCCTCTTCATCCTCACCCCGTCCCATGAGAGTAATTGTTTATGAATATTGTAAAAGATGACAGATGAAACGATAGTTATACAAAGCATCGCCTGTTTAATTAAAGTTTGAAACAAGTTACATTGCAATTTTGTTCAGAAAATTGATTTGCAGATATCGTCAAATGCAGACCTGTTGGTGAAAAGGTCACATTTAATCTGAAGTGATTATGTGCTCTTTTTAAAGGTTTCACGATCGGCTTTGTAACAGCAGCCATCGTGAGTGGTCCATTTTCATTTCGGAGCTTCGCCTGCTTTGTTATTTAGAAAATATTGCTGTGCTCTGAGTTATATACTACTTGTAGAACAATCATTTATGCAGAACAACGAGCAAAACAATATTCGTGTTGAAACTATACAGTTTGACAGTGCAAAGCCTAATTCATCATAATGTTTCATGTGAATGTTAAATGTATAAAAATTGAGTCGATGAGATGAAAGTCCATGACACGTAGCTGGTTTATGCTACGCATGTTCTCAGTATTGAGTGTTTATTTTCAATCGTAGTCATTAGACGACTTAATCACTATTTGGAAGTTGATTTCAGATGTTTAACGGTAGTGAACTGGCGGTTTCTTGGAATTTCATTTGTAAATTCCTTTTGCTCACTTTTAATCTTGGTCTGCAAAAGGCACAAGTCTGCAATATTTGTGGGACTACATTGACATCTTGTAGAAAGTATTTTTTTTCCAAAACGTTTTAGTGTGAAAGAAAAAGCTAGTTATAGATTAATTCAATACGGATGCCTGATGCCCATTTTGTAGTCAGTTCTAACATTCTCCTGTTGTGAAACATTTTGATGTATTTAATCTTGATGTCCGAATCTTGTTTGTGGAAAATAATTTGTTTCCATATCAGAACTGTGAATGATGTGCTTCTGTATAATAAAAAAGATAATATAAAATAATGCAGTCAAAAAGATATGGTAAATTGGCTTTGCCAGCATTCAGTTGTCGAATTTATCTGTTTATAAAAGTAACCATGTGTGAATTTACCAGATGCGAACCTCCCTGTTTTAGCAAGTAGACTCAAGCGCAATTATCGAATATAATTAAGAACATCTGATGGAATTTATTCATTAATTGTTTTCTATGGCGAACATTGACCTGTCTAGTATTGAATAGCAGTTGTAACTTTTTTTACGAGGCAATGTTCTTTATGGTTGATTTGTGTTTTGAGTAGATCCTTTTTGAAGGTATGTGGTGGGAAACGTGGCTGTCCAAGAGACTTGCTCAACGTAGCTAGTTTTTCACTCTGTAGCAAGATGTGGCAGACAGGCCCATTTTAAAATGTGTGTCTTTTGAATTCAAGCTGAAAATTTGAAATAGCATACTATGCATAAATTATAAAACTTCATTTACCAAAAGGGCTATTCTAAGACCAATAATTTAAAAGCTGTTTTAAGTATAACTGAGCAACTAGTTTATTGCAATGCTTAACTTACTGCATTTACAATGGTTAACACTGCTGTAAGCCTGATTGTAGCCAGCAACCCATGTTTAACATTTAGATTTCATATTTCTGTAGGATTTTTAAATATTTTTAACTACTGGAAAATACTGTATCTATTATTCAATAGCCATTTCTAAAGTCAGCAGTGGTCATTGAGAGGGTTAGTATTTTACTTTGTTTGCTCGAGTTTTGCATTATTTCATTTTGCATACAAACTATTTTTCAAGTTACTAATTGTAAGATTCTCAAAATTTTGCCTTTTTAAAATTAATGTGGTTAATGGAAATCAATTTATTTGGCATCATGTGTACTGATTTCAAGGTATTGTGATATATTACGTAGACTTTCAGAAGTGTGATTGGATGACTTCAACTACTAAAATAGGACTTTATCAGATACATCATGCCTAACTTTGTGAGATCCTCCTGTAGAGTAAATGATGAACTAGTTTAGGTCACTGGATTTAGCATTGCAGTGATGAAATGGTGTCATAGTCTGCTTGTCCACACAGAAGTGTGCGACCACATGTCTTTTACTTCTGTGGTTAGCAGGTATTTCCGTTGCAGTTCAAATTGAAATATCGCTATTGCATTGTTTGGTGACTGTTAGTTTATTTTAAAACATTATTAAACTAACAGTTATGAACTGTAGATATAATTTTATATTTAGTTTGGATGGGGATAGAGAAGGAAACTTCAGAGGGAAGCAACTACGTAAAATGCTGTGGCCCACTTCACGCAATTATCCAAATATATCTATAGATGTCCATGGTACAGAAAGTTAATCACCATTAAAGTTATGTTCTGTCTGCATGATTCACATATGCAATATTTGATAAGTTGTTCTTCATCTTCATGGATATTGTATAAAATATTTCCAGATTGCAGTTTTGAACTCTAAAGGAAAATGCAATAAATTGCTGGTTAGATTATTGGTCTTTTAACCCTAAAATTTTTGAATTCAAAAATGTCAGAGGACACGAAAAGTACCTTTTTTTGATGGAGTGAAGAGTCCAGCAGACGACATAATGACTATAATTCAAATCCCTCAACATCCCTTATGAGGAGTTTTTGTTTGGATTCAGAACAATGGTGTAGGAAGTAGAAATATCATACTGCACTGTAACACTTAACTTGCATTCTGGCTTAATCTTACAAATCTTTTCAAATTTCATGTGTAAAATTAAATGTTTTTCAAGTACCATTGTTTCACAAATCACAGGAACATATCAATGTGGTCATACAGCATAGTGTCTTACACTAACTGAAACCAAATCAATCCCATTGAACAATTCTGCCATTTTACTGTAGAAGGGGCAACTACAGCTATGCTAAATGGTTTAGTTCCATTGGTGTAGTGAAATGGAAGCTTGAATCTTTGTTTTGACACCAGGATAATTGATTATGTGTGTGAGAGAGGCATAACCTCCTGTTAAACTCAATTATTTTTCTAAATATAGAATACACTGCAAAATTTCAGAAATTTTTTCAGGCAAGTATTTTCCAAATTTTATTTTGTTGAAATTATTTTTCTGTATTTTGCAAATAACCTATTTGTTACTGTAAAGTTACAATTTACAAATAACTATTCCAACGGTATCTTCAAAATGATTTGTTAAATTTACTCTATTCTGTTTATCTACCTCTCCCCACCCACTTCCTCCAATCAAACACTGTATGCATTTAAAGTTGCCCAGTGGCAGGCTGGTGTATGTTATGGATGTAAATTTTTGAAGTCAGTGAAAAATTGTCCAAAAAATCATGTCATGTATTAACGTATAACTTTAGGAATGAATACTTAATTGAGTCCACTAAGTGCATTGTAGTGCTGATAAACAGATGGCTTTTAGGGTATAAAGCATGCAGAAGTGTTTCAAGTGGTCTCAGGTTGTGAAATACATGATATAAGTGCAAGTCCGTTTATTTTATTATGCTATTGCCATAGAATCAAATATAGAAACATAGAAGATAGGAGCAGGAGGAGGCCATTCAGCCCTTTGATCCTGCTCTGCTATTCTTCACGAACATGGCTGATATTCCAACTCAAAAGCCTAACCCTGCTTTCTCTCCATAACCTTTTGATCCCATTCACTCCAAGTGCTATATCTTGTCGCCTCTTGAATACATCCAATGTTTTGGCATCAACTGCTTCCTGCGGTAATGAATTCCACAGGCTCACCACTCTTTTTGGGTGAAGAAATGTCTCCTGATCTCTGTCCTAAATTGTCTACCACGAATCCTCGTCCTGTGACCTCTCATTCTGGACACATCATTATTGGGAACATGCTCCCTGCATCTACCCTGTCCAGTCCTGTTAGAATTTTAGAAGTCTCTGAGATCTCCCCTCCCCCTCATTCATCTGAACTCGAGCAAAAACAATCCAACCCAGTCAATCTCTCTTCATACATCAGACCTGCCATCCCCAGAATCAACCTGGTAAACCTTTGCTGCATTCCCTGAGTAAGAGTATCCTTCTTCAGAAAAGGAGATCAAAACAGCACACTGTACTCCAGGTGTGGACTCACCATAGCCCTGTACAACTGCAATAACACATCCCTCTTCCTGTATTCAACCTCTCGCAATGAAGGCCAATGTATCATTTGCCTTCTTTACCACCTGCATGCTTACCTTCGGTGACTGCTGCACAAGGTGCAATAATAGATTCAGGAGTAAATCTTGAAAAAAATAATTCCTATGAAGTATTCCCTTAAATGTTACAGATATGTTTGAATAAAATTTTTGTTCAACTTTTCCTGATAGTAAATATTCAGCATTAGAGGTTTCCACTTTGACAGTAATTCAAGATTAAATAATTTCAATTTGTGAATTTTTTTCTTGAATCTTGTGGCGATCCTATTTCTCACCATGCATATGTCAGTGAGCAGTAAAGTATGGCAAAAGTGGCATGAAAAATGTTAATTCA